TTTAATGAAAATTGAAAGATGTAAAGTTTCTTCAATGCATGATAAATTTAAATCTTTTGTAATTTTGGTGGCAGTGTAGCTCCCATAGATGTGGTTTTCGTTCTCATTTTGTACGATTTGAACGTTAACTCATTATTTTATTTGATTTCCGTGTTGTTTTGATACCACCTGCTGGTTGGATGGAGTACTGCATTTGAAGATTTGCTCGAGTTGAGCAAATGTTTCGTTGACACATGAGGCAGCAGACAAGCCACAAGAACAAGCTTGCATTTGAAGAAAAAAATGGACATGAACTGGAATTGGGGTTGGGGGGGGGTGTATTTACAAGTTTCCCTTTGTTCACAGCCATTGACATGTCGAAGAGTTTAACACGTGAGAAGCAGATCAAAATTGTGTTGATATCTGGTGAACGCAGTAACCAGGTCATTGAAGCAGATTTCAATGCAAGACACCCTACAAGACCACACATGCTACAGTTAGCAAACTTCTTGCTAAATTTCTTGAAACTGGTTCAGTGTCGGATTCAGGGCCGTTGCTAGCTATTTTGGTGCCCTAAGCACAAAGGCTTTGTGGTGCCCCCCCTATTTTTTAGATGAACATCCTTTAACACTGTTCAGACTTATTTTTTGATACAAATGGCATGAACAGGCTGAATAAAAGGATATTTTCCTTTGTTGCATTTAACTATTTCTTCTTCTTCTTTAAAGAAGTGCTGATTCAGAAGAGAATAACTGCATTTAGGAAGATGATGACTTGCTACGTTTTTTCTCCAGCAGTAAAAAGCTCTAAAGCTTCTTTGAGTTTCTCTCCCTTTCAGCCTCTCTCACTCAGCTACTAATGAACGCCCGGTAGGCGGACGGGAGGCTGAGGGGCAGAGTGGCGCATTATGCTTTTAACAGACTGGAGAAGCAGAGAACGAAATCTGCCCAAACCACGCAGATACAGTCAAAATGTTAAATGTGCGGAAGCAGAGTGCAAAAAACACCAAAAAAAAAAGTCCTTAAAAGCAGCATGCTTACCAAACTCGGCAAAATTTGACCAAAAACAGATTAATTTACAGCAGTAACAAGTCCGAATTCAAGCTAGGTCAAACGACCCTCTGAACTTGACCACATGTGTTTAGAATTAGAAATAGAAAATTTAAATAAATAAATAAATAAATAAAATAAAAATTAAGAATTTCCATAAAAATACTTGTCTTACCTGCAATCGAAGCAGCAGCATCATCCCGCTGTTTTTTCTTTTGCCTCTTTATGGGCTCGACACACGGGAGGCAACAAACGACCGCGATCAGCGAAATTTGTCGCCGTCGCTTTTATTACCTGACACACGGGAGGCGACCCGTGGCAGCGGACAGCGGCAAAGCCGTCTACACGTTCTGTTCCATGGCGAAATCGAAACTTCCGTTGCTTAGTTTGTCTGTGTCAGGTTGGAGGGAATTAAGGTTATTTAAGCGGTTCAGAGTTTAAAAAGTGTTTGATATGATGTTTCACAAGGTGCTGCTGGAGTTATGTGAAATCTTACTCCTGATTTTACTATAAAACATAATAATAATCAACTTCTCCTCCATGTTTGCTCGGAGATGTACGGAGCGTCCTGTCCGCTCATTGGTCAGTGAATGAAACCTCCGTTGGTTGGTCCTCGTCCGAGCGACAGCGATGAAAAGTTGAAAATGTTTCAACTTTCTGGGATCGCGTCGCTGGGTCGCCTGTGCACGACACGTACACGAGTGCAAAATTTCACACGCCCGTTTTTCGCGTTTCGCTTGGTAGGAGGGAGACCCGCGATTATCACTTTGTCGTGCATGTCTCATTGAAAATGAATGGAGGAGAGGCGATGTCGCCTCCTGTGTGTCGAGCCCATTACTGCCCCGTGTGCAACACGATCCATCTCCTTTCATTTTTGTATTGTTTTCTCTCTGTAAACATGCTGTTAACTTGCTTTGCACATCTTATTGGAATCTGTCTTTATCATTTATATATATTATTTTTTCATAAGCTTGCGTTTGGTGCCCCCCCCCCCCCCCCCCCCCCCCCAGCGTGGTGCCCTGTGTGGTGTGCGTGTGCGGAGCACCGGCGCTGGTTGGATTTGCCAAAATGTGGTCGCATGAAAACTGTCGCTAATGAAGAAACATCAGTGGCTGTCCTAGTTTCATTTAGCAAGATCCCACAGCGTAGCACTTGCCGCATGTCACTGGAGAGTGGCATTAGTCAAACATCCCTTTGGCGGATATTAGCTACTCACAAATGGCACCCTTACAAACTCCAGCTACTGCAGCATCTCAAGAGCAGCATCTTAGCCTCAAGATGGCGGCGTGCTCTGGTGCAGCGGCTCTCAGCTCTCCGTCTTCGCAGGATATCATCGGCTGCTCTCTGCCGAGCATGGAAGGCATTGCAAACTCTCGATACCTCAGCAGAGCCAGAAACATCATCAAGGACTTCTCCCACCCCAGCAACCACCTGTTTGAACTGTTGCGGTCCGGTAGAAGATACAGAGTATACAAAACGGGGACAGAAAGATTCAAGAACAGCTTCTTCCCCACGACAATCATCACTGCAAACAGCTCTCAGAAGATTTAGGGAGGATCTTGTACAATATACATAAGTCAGTGCTATACACAATTTACATAAGTGCAATATACATGAGTCAGTGCAATATACATACATCAGTGCAATATATTATGCCTTGGACGATGTGTCACCTGTTTCCTTTGGCGTTTTCTCATCTCATGACTGTATTTCTTTTCTGCCATGACTGTATCTCTTCTTATTTATGTTTATTACATTTTTTTTCTTTATTTTTCTTATGTGTATTCCATTATTGTATTCAGCACCAAGGGAGTAGCATTCCAGTTTTGTTGTACTCTGTACAATGACAATAAAGGCTATTCAATTCAATCTCAATGAGGATGACCCAGATTGGCGCACAGAATTTGCAGAATGGGCAAAACAAAAATTGTAACAGGGCCTTCAGTTCACGCAGAAGATTTTGTTCAGTGATGAGGCAAACTTTTATGTGAATGGTGAAGTTAACAAACAAAACCACTGCTACTGGTCTGACACTAACCCACATTGGATAGATCCCTCCAAGACTGTTGGAACAAAAATGGTGATGGCATGGTGTGCTGTATGGGGTACAAAGATAGATGGGCCATTCTTCATCAATGGAAACCTCAAGGCCACTGGATATTTGAAATTGCTACATGATGATGTGTTCCCCTCTTTATGCACTGAAGCTGGCACGTTCCCTGAGTTTTTCCAGCAAGATGGTGCACCGCCACATTATGGGTGTCAGGTCCGAGCATTCCTAGATGAACAGTTTCCCGGAAAATGGATTGGCTGTTGTGGGCCAGTTCAATGGCCCCCACGGTCTCCCGATCTGAACCCCTTAGACTTTTGAATTTGGGGTCATTTGAAGGCAATGGTGTGAAGATACGAGATGAGAAGCACCTGAAACTATGGATACTGGAAGCCTGTGCTGACATTTCTCCAGCGGTGTTGCTATCAATGTGTAAAGAGTGGGAGAAGAGGGTTGCATTGACAATCCAACACAATGGGCAGCACATTGAACACATTTTATAAGTGGTCAGAATCTTGTAAATAACTCATGAAAGAATAAAGTTACGTTAAAACCAAACACACCAATATTTTTTTTGTGTGAAATTTCTAATAAGTTTGATGTGTCACATGGCCCTCTTCCTATTGAAAAAAAAAAGTTGGATCTGGCCAATTTCAAAATGGCTACCATGGTCACCACCCATGTTGAAAAGTTTGCACCCTCACATATACCAATAAGCCACAAACAGGACGTTAATATCACAAACCATCCCATTTTATTAAGGTGTATCCATATAAATGACCCACGGCACCCTGTGTACACTTTGCTCCGAGGGTGTTCGCCCAGGGCACCAAACGGGCTAGGATCGGCCCTGGATATGCCTTTTGAGCCTTTTTTTGAGCGGATAGCTCTCTCACCAGTGTTCTGCGTAATGGATTCGGTTCTGTGCTACTTGAAAATAGTAATGTGGTCGCAATAGGCATAACTGCTGCGATGGCCGAGTGGTTAAGGCGTTGGACTTGAAATCCAATGGGATCTTCCCGCGCAGGTTCGAACCCTGCTCGCAGCGTTCCACCTTTTTTAAATCTTCGCGTTAAAAACAAGATGCCGTGTAATAACACGCAGAAAGATCAAATAAAAAAAGGCAGAAGCGACAACCTATGTAATGGGCATCCTTGGGACTTGACTGCAGGATCATGTCGTTTACCTTTGGCTCTTGAACCAGCTGGAGAATGTCTTCGTAGACTATGCTGCAGAACAAATGTTCTCCTGAACTTGTTTCTTCACAACTTTTATTCACTACGTGTAGACTACGCGTGTACGTGCTTTCGACGAATTCTACCTCCTACCAGTCGAGGGCGCTGCGTTTGGTACCTGTGCTTTCAGTGACTTTACCAACTAAATATTCTGCTAAAACGTCATTTGGGGATTGCAGAAATAACCACGTGGATCCGGATTTGCTGTTTTTATCATTATATAGCAGCAGTATGCAGAGAAAGCATTGTTATTTAGGAATTACACACCGTTGTTTATCTATTGGAGAACATTTAAGGGAGGGGGGGGGGGTGCATGTTAAGAGTAAATACTGCTTTTAATAAAATAAGAAACCCAGTGAAGAGAACCTGAAACTCATTCAAACCCTATCAGCAGCAAGGCTGCTGTTTTTTGGTTTCCGTGTTGCGTTGCTGCCGCCTGCTGGCGGGCTGAAGTGTTGCTGGCAGGTCCTCTAAAGCGGAGTGCGTCAGTGGATCAGACTTATGAAAGGACACTATTGAGTTGTTCGGTCCCAGGAGGACACACCTAGGAGACACTTTTATCTTATGCCCTTCAAGATGCTCTCATTAAATATTTAATAACACAGAAGTGAGGACAAGGTACTGTTATTTACACAATTATGGGTTTCCTGCAGGGAAGCTGATCAAAGAACAGAAACAGACCCACAATTTTCTTGTGGAACCATACCAAGACTTTAATAGTTCTCAGGTTCTTTTGTGTTTATCCCATTGCATCTACCCAGATTTAATACTTCTTAGTTCAGGACAGAGCATTTTCATTTTTGTTTAGTAGTTCATTGCTTCATCCTGTGGCTTCTCCTGGGTTCTTCCTCCACAGTCTCATCAGCACCTTCTCCAGGCTGAAAGGCTTCTGTTTGGGTCTCCGGATGAGGCTGAGGGCTCTGACTTGACTCTTGTGGTTTCTGCGGTCCAGCATCCAGGCGGAATAGCGTGGGGACTTGACCCAGAATAGGATTGTTCTGCTGAAGTCCAGAGATCCACTGGTTCAGGGTTGCTTGGTTCCCCTGGCTGGTCATACACATGGCAAAGACCGGCCCGTCATCCACTGGACAGACAAACATGGAAAGGTTACCCACTACTAAAATATCATTTCTGATAACCCTCCCACTGTCTTCATGGGTGACCCTGTGAGGAAAGTTGACCATTGAGCAGGGTTGATGGTTTATCCCTTGAGGTCCACGTGGCAGGGGTGAGGTGGTGCTCACTCCTCACCCCTGCCACATGGACCCAATGGATAAACCATCAACCCTGCTCAATGGTCAACTTTCCTCACAGGGTCACACCCATTAGGACAGTGGGAGGGTTAAACAACTTCTAGAAGACTACAGATCTCACAGTCATCCACATCAAAGCTCTCCTCATCCCCAAGGTCTCGGTCCAAGTCCAGGTCAAGCTGGAGAGGATACTGGAGACATCTCTCTGGGTCGTAGGGCTCCTCCACCTGTGGCAGGAAACAGTCACTGCTGAGGGTAGGAGGGTACAAACTAACAATTACACGAGAGGCTCTGTTTGGAAAAAGGTGGTTCTGTAATGGCTCCTTTGGTTCCTGGAGCTCCAGCTGAAGATGATAACCTGAAAGGGTTTCTGTATAGGAAGTCTAAGTCTCCCCCTTCTCGGTCGGCTCATGGGTCCCCAGAAGAACGACGAAATGAAAGCAAGTCAACGAGCCTAAAAACGCTATTTTCTAACCCGCTGTGCCTTACGCCCTGGATCACACATATGTTGTACTTATATTTAAATGAAAAGTAATGATGGGTGTTTCGACCACGCCAGTCACGTACTTTAAGATTTATCAGCTTGTAAAAGTTCGTAATTAGCGTGACTACAAACTAGAAATCGGCACGTCGCATATGTGACGTCACCACATAATCTCCTCCCCCTAGCGTAGCTGCTACTCACCACGTGACCAGATTCATGGTGGTTCTTTCCTCCTAAAGGAAAGATTTGATGTTTGCTGAACTTGCAGCCCTTTTCCCTCCGTTTTCTCCCAAGTCTGGTTTGATGACGTCACTTTCGTGAAGCACATTTGTGGTCCTGGACTTATTTTCACGCAAAACCTAAAATAACGTTTATCCTCGTTCAAAAATAAGCGCGTTGTTGGTATCAAAATGTGTCTTTAAAATTCACGGACATCATATGAAATCCACGGCACAAAACAAGCGTATTTAGCCCCGTTGATTTGGATTCCTTTTTTCATTCTTCCAAGGACCCATGGTGCGGAAGTCGGTGGGCGTGGCTTAGGCTCTCTATAAAGGCTCTAAGTTCCAAATAAGTTCCAAAGCCACCAAATAAACAAGAAATCATGTGACTGCTGACAGGATTCCTCAGGTGTTTTGTCTGAGTTAGCAGAAAGCTCTCGGACAATAATCTCTCAGGTGAGCTAAATAAGAGTCCTCCCTCCTCAAGTGAACACCACCACTACCTGACCTTTCACCCCGAGGCAGTTACTTATCCCACAACAAATACAAATAACATAAACTGAGTTGTCGAGACGCTGCTTTCACATGATCCTCCTGCAGCAGTTTTGGGTGGAAATGTCACCATTGAGGTTGTGTTTATCAGTATTAGAGGATCAATTAAGTGTTCTGTTTTTCGTTAGAGGTTAATTCAGCAAACATTCAGAACTTCCTGCTAGACTTGACCCCTGGAAGAACTACATGTAGCTGCTGCTGGTATTTACCCAGAGGATGCTGTGTAACAGCAGAACAAATATTTATAAAATATCCATCCATCCATTTTCAGATGCTTATCTGGAGTCGGGCCGCGGGGACAGCAGCCTAAGCCGAAAGGCCCAGACTTCCCTCTCCCCGGCTACTTGGGCCAGCTCCTCCGGGGGAATCCCAAGGCGTTCCCTGGCCAGGTGAGAGACATAGTCCCTCCAACGTACCCTGGGTCTCCCTTTAAGTCTCCTCCTGGTTGGAGCACATATGGACACCTTTATGTCTGAACATGGTGTTCATTATGCCAGCTTCTGTAGCCGAGGATCAGACCGCCATGGTCCCCATTCTCAGCTACCACCCATCACACACTGCACCGGACCCCTTTGGCCCCTTCCATCAGTGGTGAGCCCATAGCAAGGAGGACCCACGTTTCCTCTTCAGGCTGTGCCCAGCTGGGCACCATGGGTGAAAGCCACCAGGCATGATAAAATAATCACATAAACTTTTGCAAATTAATCTGAAGACAATTCAAGACGACATCGCACTCTGGTCCCGGTACTGCTGCACATGGGTGCAACCATCACCGGTTCCCAGGGTTCGACCCTTTCTGCTGGGGTGCTGATGAGCAACGCCGAGCAAAGCAACCCATCACTCCAGACCCCAGCCAGACGGCCAGATCTGCCTCCTAGTCTCCAGCCGCGGGAAGCCAAGCAACAGCAGAGGTGTGCTAAGACCCCTAGTCTCCCTCCGCCTGCTCCAATACTGTGTTGGTGCGTGTTGATGAGGTGTATTCGTGGCTGTGGTGGGCGGGCAATGCAGTTATCATCTGGCCAATGCCAGCTGATGCTACCACACCACCCTTCTTCCCCCCACAACCCTCAGTGTCTAAGTGCAGTTTAAAAGTGGAAGTGGGCACCGGCACTTGGGATGAGGCTGAGAAATCCCCCTGCCAAATGCCGTTGAACGTGCTCACTCCCAAGGCCTAAGTGTGTGTTTGCGTGGAATGTTGTTGGTGGAAGTGTTTAATGTGCAAATAAAATTGGGGGGCAGGTTGCCACAGAGATGCGTAAATGGGGTCCATTCCCGCACCCCCTGACTTGTCCACCCCCCAAGGTCCTATGTGCATGTTTGTGTGATGATGTGAGGGAGCAGGAGGAGAGAAATGTGTGGGGATGGGGAGGAATGGCTGGTTGGCCCAAGCCCTCCATGGAGCCAGCTCCCCCACTGGCCCCAATAGGCACCTCCGTCGCCAAAATGCCACCCAGGGCATGGAGACCCCAGCCCATGTCGCCAGGGCCCAAAGCAGCAGCATCGCAGAGCTCCACGGCGTCCGAGGGAACCAACGCAGCCCCACCCCAGCAGAATATCTACGCCCATCCCTGCATTTGCACAACTTCCAGAATATATGAGACGTAGGACATCCAGGTAAGGTTGGGTCGACCCCCTCCTGGACAGCCTGTTGGCTAAGAAATAATAATACAAGTTGGGTAGATCCAGTCCTCCTCTGTCTTTGGTCTTCTGAAGCGTTTTTAAGCTAATTCGTGGAGGTTTATCCTGCCAAAGGAATTTAGTAATTGAAGAGTCCAGAGATCTAAACCATTCAGCTGGTGGTTTGTTTGGGATCATTGAAGATAAGTAATTTATTCTGGGTAAGACCATCATTTTAATTGTAGCAGCCCTCCCCATGAGTGATATCGGTAAGGATTTCCATCTTGCAAGATCATCTTCCACTTTCTTTTAAAGTGGGATGTAGTTTAGTTTGGTTAGATCTGCTAACTTGGGAGAGACATTAATTCCCAGGTATGTGATATTCCCTGACTCCAATTGTGTATTAAGCAAACTGACAAAAGAGAAATTAATTGGTAGAACTGTGGATTTTAACCAGTTTATAGAGTAATCTGAAACTCTTGAAAAAGAGTTTATCAGTTCTACTGAATGGGAGAGAGACGATTGAGAATTAAGAGAAAAACATCATCTGCATAAAGACTTATCTTATGTTCTATTTTCTTACATTTAATGCCTTTAATACCTGTTGTTTGCCTAATTGCTGCTGCTAGTGGTCTGGTAAAGATAGCAAACAGCGAGGGGGAGAGTGGGCATCCCTGCCTGGTCCCCCACACGATGCAAGTTCAAAGAGAAAACATCTAATCTTTCTTGAGGGATGACAACAATTCTGTGGAACAAAAGCATTTCAGAGAAACGATCCGCAACTGGTAAAATAAAAAATTAAACAAAAATCTCTGTGTGTGCCAGCTAACTGAGGGGAAAGCAGCAGCGCATTCACCGACCTTCAGGTGGAGCGGTGTGGGATCAGCTCTGAGAACATAGTAGTGAACACACGTCTTCCTTAACCACAGAGGGAAGGGGCCCTCCACAAACACCGGCCTGTTGACATCGTGCTTGGCCAGCAGCTCCATCTGACTAGGGCTCTGGATCCCTAACATCAGGACACAGTGCTGATGAAACAACGATGGCTGTGAAAAGACATTGGGCAGTAATCTGTCTAACAGAGAACTGCATCAGTATCAAGAAGAGAACCAGGACAGCTTGTTGGTTTTGGTTCGAGCAGAGAGACCTCTGAATGTACATACCCACTAGATGCGGGCGTGTGATTTCCTCTCCAGTTTCCGTGGTGTCTGTGCAAGGCAGCTGTTAGAGGAACAAACAACACGGTGTGAGCCGAGGCAAACGTCCAACTAGCTTTCACATGAAAATCAAACGTTTTCAACTCGTGTTTTCTAATTTTTCTGCTGTTTTCTTTTTAAAAGAAATTTCACATCTAAGTCATGGAGTTGAATAAATGCATCAAGGAATGTTTCTGTTGTACTCTCGTCATTTTTCCAGTTTGTAGTCAAATATTTTACAGGAGACATTTTATGCCAAACTGACGTTTTGCATCCTGTTGTGTTGCCGTTTGTGTCCTCCTGTCTCCAAATAACAACCATCCGTCCTCTGCCATCGTTTGGTCCAGGGATTAAAATCCTAAAACCAGTTGTCTCCTTACTGTGATGAGGAACATTAGTGCAGAACCCTGTTGATGCAGGAAAAGCCGTGACTCTAGCACGGGCTATTCGGCTTGGTAAAGATCCTGTATTTGCCCTGGAGCTCACTGACAGAGGTGAGGTTGCACCAGTTCCTCCCACCACCGCCAGTAGGCAAGGCACTTGAACACAACCGCAGCCGACTGAGCAGTGGCTGGGTGGGCATGGCCACCAACACCTTGTTTTCTTTAAAGTGACAAGCGCCACGAAACGGCTCGGAACTGTCCAGAATAAAACTGCTCAAGTCACACAAGGTGAGAGGGCGTCCATGCAACAGAACTCCGTAAACATGTTTGAATCGACCGTTGAACTATTATAACGTAAGAAGAAAAGTCATAATATGACCTCTTTAAAGAAGCTTGGTGTTCCTAGAAGTCACTTTAAAGGGGCATTATGGAAGTTTGACAGCCAAAACATGTATAGAAATAATAAATGTCTTCTTCATACGTTCTCCTGCAATGCCCTGGTCCTGTAGAATGAGCCCTGGCATTTTTACTGTGATTGCCTGTTTTTCTGTAAAAGCACAGAAAAAGAGAGATGCTCGGGTCGAGCAGGCTGCTTCATGCGCGTTCACGCTCAGGCATAGCCCGTAGCATTTGCTATCCGTAGCTTTAGCAGCAGAGAGAGAGGCAGTGCCACTTTGTCGCTGTTCCTAACGCCTAGTGACAAAGCTAGCTACATTTCTGAGGACCCTTAGCTACTTTCTGTAGAACTTTCTTCTAGATATTTCCTGCTAATTAGCAACAAAACAGCCATTTTCACTCCGAACCGTTCTTTGAACGTTGTTTCAGCTGTCATCAAGGATATAAATGTTACAGATACTAGCGCTTTAGCTCACCTAGTAAAACGTCGGACTCTCTCCCAGGTTTGATTCTGGGTGTGAACATAGTTTATTTAGTTTCTTTTTTACATTAATGGTATATTTTTTTACAGTAACACACCCAAATTTTTATTTGAGACTCGCCAAACGGCATTGAATTCCCAGATAAAAAAGATGCGGGTTCAACTTTTCACTTTGTCGGCTGTGCTGAAGAGAAAGGTACAGAACCAAATTATTTAATTAATTAGCTGCGCGTTCTCCCGTCCTCCGGGCCACCCACACACACACACACACACACACACACACACACACGGGACTGTCTCAGCTGTTATTTTCATTAAGGAGTGTGCACGTACAGCATGCGCCCCTCGTGCACGACCCTACTATTGAAGCTGCCGTTACGCGTTTGGCATGAGGGGGCGATCGCGAGCATAAAAATTCAAAACTCCGTAATGTCCCTTTAAGAAAATATTTCTCATTTTTTCCTGCAAAAAACAGATAACAACTCCAGCTGTAACTTTTTTTTTTTTTATGTTCTTGTCATTGATGCTCGGCTTGGTGAACCTGAAGTCATACCTGGTAGACGGTTACTTTAGCATCCAGGTCATCTGCAATGCGAGTCAGGCTGAAACGGGCTAGGTCCACTGGGTCTTCAGGCAGCACCATGGGAACGGGGAAGGGGTTGATGTGTTTGAACTTGGGGAACCAGTACATGATACGTTGGTACTTCCTTATAGGGTGGCTCTTCTCTCCAAAAATCTGGAGCAGCAAGACTTTGGACTCCACGTTGGGCAGTACACCTAAAGCACATGCAGTGACAATGAGACAGGCTGCAGCTTGTTCCTCTAACATCTAAAGAGGCTATGGAGCCGAGTATGTAGAACGCAGCTACAGGAACCCACCGTAGGTCTCCATCTGCTCCAGCAACTGCACTCCGCACTCCTGCTGTTTGGGATAATGATTGTACATTCGCTGGATAAAATTTCTTGGAATAAACACCTCTTTAGGAAAAACATCCAACAACTTGTTGTACACACTGAGGTCTCGTTCAACACCAAACTCGGGCATCTTCTTCAGAGCAGCGTAAATGAACTCCACATGACCCCGCCTTCTTATGTCCTGCTTGATGAAAACTTCTATCACTTTGTTAAATGTTGCCTTGGTTTTAGACTCTTTGGCCATCTTCTCAAACAAGTCCTCATGGGTGGTTAGAGAGGTGTCCTTGCTGGTGCGGTGCTCATGTGCTGACACGGGCTGACTCTTTGCAGATGCTGGGCTGCTGTGAAGATGCCTTAATGCCTACAAAGACACAGAAATGTGAATTTTCTGGTGCTGAGCAGAATTATTAAGGAACAATAAAAAGGAAATAGTACAAACACTTGTCAGTAGGGAACTAAATAAATATAATGTGTTTTCAAATACATGCTTCCTCTTGTGGACCTATCTTTCAGTTTCCAGCCATGAGACAGATAAATCTTCTAGTTCAGGTTAGCTTGGGTTTCCCTGGCTCATCCCTTTAGTTATGCTGTATGGGTTTAGACTGCTGGAGGACATACTGGGTAACCCTGGCTCATCCCTTTAGTTATGCTGTATGGGTTTCGACTGCTGGAGGAAGTACTGGGTAACCCTGGCTCATCCCTTTAGTTATGCTGTATGGGTTTAGGCTGCTGGAGGACATACTGAGTTACCCTGGCTCATCCCTTTAGTTATGCTGTATGGGTTTAGGCTGCTGGAGGACATACTGAGTTACCCTGGCTCATCCCTTTAGTTATGCTGTATGGGTTTAGACTGCTGGAGGACATACTGGGTAACCCTGGCTCATCCCTTTAGTTATGCTGTATGGGTTTAGACTGCTGGAGGACATACTGAGTTACCCTGGCTCATCCCTTTAGTTATGCTGTATGGGTTTAGACTGCTGGAGGACATACTGAGTTACCCTGGCTCATCCCTTTAGTTATGCTGTATGGGTTTAGACTGCTGGAGGACATACTGGGTAACCCTGGCTCATCCCTTTAGCTATGCTGTATGGGTTTAGGCTGCTGGAGGACATACTGAGTTACCCTGGCTCATCCCTTTAGTTATGCTGTATGGGTTTCGACTGCTGGAGGAAGTACTGGGTAACCCTGGCTCATCCCTTTAGTTATGCTGTATGGGTTTAGACTGCTGGAGGACATACTGAGTTACCCTGGCTCATCCATTTAGTTATGCTGTATGGGTTTAGACTGCTGGAGGACATACTGAGTTACCCTGGCTCATCCCTTTAGTTATGCTGTATGGGTTTAGACTGCTGGAGGACATACTGGGTAACCCTGGCTCATCCCTTTAGTTATGCTGTATGGGTTTAGGCTGCTGGAGGACATACTGAGTTACCCTGGCTCATCCCTTTAGTTATGCTGTATGGGTTTAGGCTGCTGGAGGACATACTGAGTTACCCTGGCTCATCCCTTTAGTTATGCTGTATGGGTTTAGACTGCTGGAGGACATACTGGGTAACCCTGGCTCATCCCTTTAGTTATGCTGTATGGGTTTAGACTGCTGGAGGACATACTGAGTTACCCTGGCTCATCCCTTTAGTTATGCTGTATGGGTTTAGACTGCTGGAGGACATACTGGGTTACCCTGGCTCATCCCTTTAGTTATGCTGTATGGGTTTAGACTGCTGGAGGACATACTGGGTAACCCTGGCTCATCCCTTTAGCTATGCTGTATGGGTTTAGGCTGCTGGAGGACATACTGAGTTACCCTGGCTCATCCCTTTAGTTATGCTGTATGGGTTTCGACTGCTGGAGGAAGTACTGGGTAACCCTGGCTCATCCCTTTAGTTATGCTGTATGGGTTTAGACTGCTGGAGGACATACTGAGTTACCCTGGCTCATCCCTTTAGTTATGCTGTATGGGTTTAGACTGCTGGAGGACATACTGAGTTACCCTGGCTCATCCCTTTAGTTATGCTGTATGGGTTTAGACTGCTGGAGGACATACTGGGTAACCCTGGCTCATCCCTTTAGCTATGCTGTATGGGTTTAGACTGCTGGAGGACATACTGAGTTACCCTGGCTCATCCCTTTAGTTATGCTGTATGGGTTTAGACTGCTGAAGGACATACTGAGTTACCCTGGCTCATCCCTTTAGTTATGCTGTATGGGTTTAGGCTGCTGGAGGACATACTGGGTAACCCTGGCTCATCCCTTTAGTTATGCTGTATGGGTTTAGACTGCTGGAGGACATACTGGGTAACCCTGGCTCATCCCTTTAGTTATGCTGTATGGGTTTAGACTGCTGGAGGACATACTGAGTTACCCTGGCTCATCCCTTTAGTTATGCTGTATGGGTTTAGGCTGCTGGAGGACATACTGGGTAACCCTGGCTCATCCCTTTAGTTATGCTGTATGGGTTTAGACTGCTGAAGGACATACTGAGTTACCCTGGCTCATCCCTTTAGTTATGCTGTATGGGTTTAGGCTGCTGGAGGACATACTGAGTTACCCTGGCTCATCCCTTTAGTTATGCTGTATGGGTTTAGACTGCTGGAGGACATACTGGGTAACCCTGGCTCATCCCTTTAGCTATGCTGTATGGGTTTAGACTGCTGGAGGACATACTGAGTTACCCTGGCTCATCCCTTTAGTTATGCTGTATGGGTTTAGGCTGCTGGAGGACATACTGAGTTACCCTGGCTCATCCCTTTAGTTATGCTGTATGGGTTTAGACTGCTGGAGGACATACTGGGTAACCCTGGCTCATCCCTTTAGTTATGCTGTATGGGTTTAGACTGCTGGAGGACATACTGGGTAACCCTGGCTCATCCCTTTAGTTATGCTGTATGGGTTTAGACTGCTGGAGGACATACTGGGTAACCCTGGCTCATCCCTTTAGTTATGCTGTATGGGTTTAGACTGCTGGAGGACATACTGGGTAACCCTGGCTCATCCCTTTAGTTATGCTGTATGGGTTTAGACTGCTGGAGGACATACTGAGTTACCCTGGCTCATCCCTTTAGTTATGCTGTATGGGTTTAGACTGCTGGAGGACATACTGAGTTACCCTGGCTCATCCCTTTAGTTATGCTGTATGGCTTTAGACTGCTGGAAATACTGGGTAACCCTGGCTCATCCCTTTAGCTATGCTGTATGGGTTTAGGCTGCTGGAGGACATACTGGGTAACCCTGGCTCATCCCTTTAGCTATGCTGTATGGGTTTAGGCTGCTGGAGGACATACTGGGTAACCCTGGCTCATCCCTTTAGTTATGCTGTATGGGTTTAGGCTGCTGGAGGACATACTGGGTAACCCTGGCTCATCCCTTTAGTTATGCTGTATGGGTTTAGGCTGCTGGAGGACATACTGGGTAACCCTGGCTCATCCCTTTAGTTATGCTGTATGGGTTTAGGCTGCTGGAGGACGTACTGAGTTACCCTGGCTCATCCCTTTAGTTATGCTGTATGGGTTTAGGCTGCTGGAGGATGTACTGGGTAACCCTGGCTCATCCCTTTAGTTATGCTGTATGGGTTTAGGCTGCTGGAGGATGTACTGGGTAACCCTGGCTCATCCCTTTAGCTATGCTGTATGGGTTTAGGCTGCTGGAGGACATACTGAGTTACCCTGGCTCATCCCTTTAGTTATGCTGTATGGGTTTAGATTGCTGGAGGATGTACTGGGTAACCCTGGCTCATCCCTTTAGTTATGCTGTATGGGTTTAGACTGCTGGAGGACATACTGGGTAACCCTGGCTCATCCCTTTAGTTATGCTGTATGGGTTTAGACTGCTGGAGGATGTACTGGGTAACCCTGGCTCATCCCTTTAGTTATGCTGTATGGGTTTAGGCTGCTGGAGGACATACTGGGTAACCCTGGCTCATCCCTTTAGTTATGCTGTATGGGTTTAGACTGCTGGAGGACAACATCTCACTCTGTTGACCTCGCATACTGAGGACACGCTAAAACCCGTAGGGGTTTGTTCCCGGGCCAGGTGTGCTCGTGTTTACGACACTGCCTGGTTAAAAAGCTCACCTGGTGCTGACGGTGGTTCTGGTTGGTCTGACCGGAGGCTGGTCTACCGGACCGGAGCAGCAGCGGCAGGAGGCTGCGGGAACACCTCATCGTTGCGCTTTCCGACTAGCTCACAGCTAACAGGACGAGACAACCAGGTGGGCACTTAGGTTTCAGGTAAAATGACATCATCGTTACATTTATGTATGCTGTAGCAGACAGCTAGTGTCGCGCGCTGCCTGAACCGGATGTTCCTCTAACAACAGCAGGCTGAAAAACTCACTGTGAATTCAGTCTCCTTCAAAACTCGTCTCTGTGCTCGCCTCCATGTTAGAAAGCCGCGAGAACGTCCTGTTTCTACACCGAAATACTTCCCCTTGAACAGCGGGAACATTTACCGAGATAATCGTTCCGCTTGGCTTTTTTTTTTTCTTCTGACTCATTTTCGTCTAAAACTCAAGTATTTAATATGAAAATAAAAATGTGCTGCGGAGGCTAATTCATAACAAAAACTATTAAAACTGTAATCATGAAAGGCTAAAATAAAGACTGGTTTTACAGCATCACAAAAGGAATACGTGTTTTTATCATTTAAAGGAGCGACTGTTAGGAATCAGAACAAGCACACCACACAGACTACAGATTATTCATGAAAAACTGACAAGACAACATCAGTGTAGGGGCGACGGTGGCACAGGAGTTAGGTGCTCACCCGTAACCGGAAGGTTGCAGGTTCAAGCCCCGCTCAGTTTGTTGCTGCTGTTGTGTCCTTGGGCAAGACACTCAACTCACCTGCTGCTGTTGCTGGTGGTGGTCGGAGGGACCGGTGGCGCCTGTGCTCAGCAGCCTCACCTCTGTCAGCGTGCCCCAGGGCAGCTGTAGCTCATCACCACCAGGGTGTGAATGTGTGTGTGTGAATGGGTGAATGACTGATTGTGTTGTAAAGCGCCTTGGGGGGTTCCATCACTGTAGAAGGTGCTATATCAAACACAGGCCGTTTATGATTTAAAGACTATGACCTCTGGTTTCCTCCCACCTACCAAAAACATGCATGTTAGGTCAGAGTTGTTGTTTGTCTGTGTCGTGTGTGTGTCCCTGTGACGGAACAGAGACTTCTAGAATGGAAGATCCATTAACTCAAAGACAACAGCAGTCACAGTCAGTTTTATTGTCAATTCTACCACATGTGCAAGACATACAGAGAAATGAAATTGAGTTTTAGTACACACAATTCAGAGATCAGACATACATGGGCAAGACACATGACAAGAATTAGTGACTGTGGTCATTCGCAACACGAGTCGTGCTACCTTAAAAGATGAAAAGGGAATTACATGAGGATAAATTGGGGGAGGGGAAAAAAGGCACACCAGAGTTACTCCCGGCAGGGCGTAGCTTTACTATGCAAAAAAAAAAAAAACGCCTCAAACATATAAGCACGAACATCACAGTTCACAACATGAGACTCCGATGGGGGGGGGGGGGGGGGCTGGGATCCTGTTTCCCCAGGGCGAGCAGCCCTGTGTGGCGCTCAGCCAGCTGTATCCACAGGAGGGAGGGAGATCTTGGAGAAGCGCAGAGCACATTTGAGTTCCTGCAGGTTGATGACCTCACTAGAAGTCCACAATCTGAAGGGGGGGGGGGGGGGACGGGTTTTCACAACATCTGTTTGCATTCCTTCCTTCATGGGGGTTGTTGTCAGCAGCTCAAGGCTGCCTTGGCGTCAGATTTGGATAACAAGACTTTGTTTGGGTCAGGCTGAGATAATTTTCCTCTCTGCCTTGAAGTCTGTATTGATCATTCAAGTCCTCCAGTTAAGCCAGTTCAGGTTTTAATCATCCCCACACCGTCCGGTGACCCTCTCTGAGATAACATCCATTTTGTGCACTAATACCGGTAACGCAGCAAGGACATTGTCCAGCTTACGATTCACCTCGAGTAACGTCCCAGTCTGTGAGGTCACCGCCCAGGCGGTGCTTTCCGTGGGTGCGGGTCGCCCTCCAATCCCTACATCTGAACTAAAGCTTGTAAGCTGCTTTGGATAAAAGCATCTAAATGTATAAACACAAACACCAAAACATAAAAAGTGCCAGAGTAAAGAGAAATTCCCACAGTGGAATCATCTAAGGGCTGATATCAGCGAAGAATGGAGAAGACCTTTTTATTCAGACTTCCACTCTGATTTGATTCAAACCAGTAAAAGCTGAAACTCGTGCTAATGACTTGTCTCGTGACTTGTTATGAAAAAAGTCTACATTCATTCCAATGTGCTGCTTTTTCACCACAAAAGGGAACATCTTAGTTTCTAGATTATGTTGAATGTGTTAGAAAGCTTGGGCTATCTGTGTGGCGTTGTTGTTCTGTAGTTTACGTGTCTCCTGGCTGTGTTTACACCTACAGCCCTTAAACTCTGGCTGAGCATGTGCTCTAGTGTTGGATGGTCTCTCCTTCAGAGGAAACCACTGGCCTGTTCCCATTTACAAAACCATCACACTTTCTGACCTCCATACTCCAAAAACATATGTTCCCAAGACCAAGGTCGGATTATAATACGGGCAAACTGGGCACAGGCCCAGGGGCCCACAGCCACAAGGGGGCCCACGCGAGCAGCAGTCTTAACGTTGGAGAAAAATGTTGACAAGCAATTAAAATTGCGCCCACATTTTCTAAGTCAACACACATTTCCTTTAACGACGGTATTTTTTGCATCTTTACTGTTCCCCAGCCCTCTCCCCCCTCCCCTAGCGCAGCGGCCGCTAACTCACTGATGCGCCTGCGGCCTCTCAGAGTTCCTGCAGATCCAAACGTTGAAAGAATCATTTCATTTTCTGCTCCTCACTTCTGATTATTTTCAGTGGTGTCTGTTTGCTGCACATTGTGCCCAGGGGCCCCTGCAGTGACAATCCGGCCCTGCACACGACGCGTTCCTTCTGAACGTACCAGGGGCTCGTTCTGAGTTTAAAAGAACATCTTCTGTCTCTTACACTTGGAGTCAGCTCCAAAACCAGTTGAAGCTGAAGGACTCGGTCTCACCGATCAAACATCCGGATGGAAAAGTTTTGATTCATGATTTCTGTCACTGACGGTGTCCTTTTGTTTCTCTGTAAACTGCTAGGGTTCTGTAGTCAGAAGTCTTCTCCTGAACAAGCTGAATGCTGACAAACACTACCTGTTGAACACGTTAGATGCACAGAAGGAATGTTCTTCTTTCTCTTCCAGCTGTTCCTCTCAGGGTCGTGGCAGCAGATCATCTAACTCCAGAGCCCTCTGTCGCCACGTGCTGCACAAGCATCCAATAAACAGCGAATGCACAAATGCAACAGAGCAGCCCGGCTGGAGAATCTGTCTCAGTCAGGAGAATAAAGTTAAAGACAAACATCTTCAGAGTTTTAAATGGACATTATTTGGGTTTACATATTAAATTCAATTCAAAGATACTTTATTAATCCCAGAGGGAAACTAGAGGAAATACAAACATGTGAATGATCTCTGAATGCTTTGGACAAATAAAATATTAGAAAAGTTGCATCATTTCTCCACGAGGGGGCGACAAACCCAAACTTATCATTCTTATGAGCCACAAGGTCCACAGCGTTTAAAACAGGCCTCGTTTAAAACTTCCTTTTTCTTCCAGATCAGCCCGAAACCCGCTGCTTCCTGCCGAGCAGGACCAGAACCAGCTGTGCTCCGGAAGGAGACGAAGCTGCTCACACTCGTGAAGACATCTGGCCGTACTTCCTGCTGTTTGATCGGTAATGAGTGCGTTCTCAGGCGCTTCCCTTCGGCTCTGCTCCTGCTGAAGAGATCTGGTGATCCGTTTCCGGTGGCTCCTCTCAGATCTGACGGGGTGGTGAGAGTGGCTCCTCTCAGCATGGAGGAGAACACACCTTAGCTGTCCTCCGATCTCTGGCCCAACATGGACTCCCTCACCAACAGTTTGGGTGAGTTAAACTACTAAACTAGTCCTGTTAACTCCTACCTACCCACTCGCTAACTGGGAGGATTTAAGCTTCTGCTGGAATCGTGTTAGAATCTCTGCTCGCGAGGCTGATAGAAGACATCTTGAACATCTGGGGTTCGTGGGGCAGAAACCCTCTCAGTTGGGCTGGCTGGGTTTATTTGGGTCGGAGCGCATTCCTCAGTGCGTGGATGGAACAGGCGGAGGCGTGTGCGTGCGTGCGTGCGTGCGTGTGTGTGTGTGTGTGTGTGTGTGTGTGTGTGTGTGTGTGTGTGTGTGTGTGTGTGTGTGTGTGTGTTGCGTTGCTCAGAAGAGTTGCACATTTACACTTAGTTCTGCTTACACGCGCACCGATGCGCTGGAACTGGTTTGGTTTGTGCACGCGCACTAACCGTGCACCACGTGGCTGCGGACCATCAGTTTATCCCTCTGGAGACAGAGCTGGCTCAACCAACTTGTGACAAGCTGCAGCATCCAACATGCGGAGCCTTGCTGCGTGTGCAAAACCTCGCTCATCTATAGTTCTCCAACTGTTGCGCAATGCTGCTGCTGTTGCACATTTGCAGCTCCCGCTGCTCCATCCCCTGCCGTTGTTGCATTTACTTGCCCTGTAAACATGTGGGAGGTGATGAAGAGCGGTAAATACCGCACCAGGCATCATAAAGTGCAGCGACTACTTCTCACTAAAGATGCTGTCATTTCCAACAAGCTGGATCCTCGTTGGTGTGTTCTGGTCCTGCTGTCTGCTTCACAGCTGAAGGGAGGGTTCTGTCCACATCTGTCATGTGGAGGTGCTAGAACAAGGAGCTCGTGTCTCTGTCAGCTGACTGGCTGTCATCAGCTAAGATGAGAATCCACCCAGCCACGCATCCATCTGTCTTTTAGTCCAACATCCACCCATGTTTGGTCTTCTTTAATATAAACATAAACATGTTTAACAAAGTTATTTTTATTATCAACCAAGAAATAAGGAATGAAACACTGATCATCTTCTCAGCTGTGTGTGTGTGTGTGTTCATGACTGCTTATTCTTTTTTGGTAAACATGGCACTTTGCTAACATTTTGCGACACTTATTTTAGCCAATGAGATTGATTAATGCTTCTGCATCCTGCTGTAGAGCTACTATCAGCTACGGCTGCACGGTATCAGGAAAACCTGCGATACACGATAACACTGA